ATTTTATTGCAATTTTTTACTTTTTCGCAATTTTTGCATTTATTACCTGCCGGGTCATGGCCCAGACAGTTTTGGGAAGTTAGACTGTATGATTATATATATAAAGCAGAACTAATCTGATCTTTGTAAATAATTATTTAAAATAAATTAGAGCTGCCAGAGTTAAGAAATATTATATTACTATATATTACTTTATATAGTAATACGACATTACTACATGTATAGTAAATAATAGAGGTGTAGTCGTCACCCTCTCCAAATGGTAATGGTATATTTCTCAAAGTTCAAATCCCAGAGAAGACGCTTTTGAAAATAGTGAAAATGGAATATATCAGACGACGATCTCTATTTAGGTTGGCCTATAAATGATTTAGTGATCTGGTGCCTGGGGCACTGGTGAAAGAGATTCCAGGTAGCTGTAATCTGTGGGTGTGTATAGCACGGGTCACAGGACCAGAGATCGAAGCCCATTTGGGAAGTCCCGAGTTTGGAGGTAGCAGTGATCTTTGACGGTACTACATATAGGCTAAATTTGAACCAGGGCCCGAGATTGGAGAACTGAGCGATCAAGTCCTTAAGTGGGAGAACACACCAGCTAAACAGCTGGTTTAGACACACCAGAGGAAAAGGCCGTATGCTCCAAAAATACAGACCAAGGTGAAGGGCATCCTTCAGGCACCTAAAGCCTGGGCAGACCAACCTGTCCGGGTTGCCGGCTGGAAGTAAGGGAGAGACCAATAAAGAATCCAGTAAGAAGATGACTGGAATGTAGGGTACTGGGTTGTTGTGAACCTTACAAGGACAGGAGTATGTAATAAAGGACTAATTAGGAAGGTTGTACTTGAGATATGGATTGTGTTATGGGAGCACCCCAAAAGGTGGCTTGAGATACGAACACAATGATGGAAGACAATAGGTACTAATTGGGAAGTAGTTACCAAACGAGCATGCACTATTATGTGTGGGACATATAATGCGATGTCAGGTTTACCTCGAGGATGTTCTAGTCCTAAGGCTGGTTGTAATATATATAGTTAAAAAATGGATATGGTTAATTGGAGTCTGTAAAAATTAACTTGAACTTAACTATAATAAAATACCGACCAAAGAGGTCACCTTAAAAAAAAAAAAAAAAAAAAAATGTATAGTAAATAATACTACATTACTACATATTACTATGTGTAGTAAGTAATACTACATTACTACATATTACTACATGTAGTAAGTAATACTACATTACTATATTTTACTACATGTAGTAAGTAATACTACATTACTACATATTACTACATTATTACAATTACGGCTTAAAAAAGACTGCGTAGTAATATATATAGTAAATATAATTGTAGTAATTACCTATTTACGACGCCAATCACTACATATATATAAATATGTTGTAAGTAAAATGGAATTTAAGTTGATTCAATAGTGTGAATACATACATACAAATGTATATTTTTATAATAATAAGGGTAGCTACGTGACATGTGATATTGTGCAGGACCAGTACGATCATGTGCGAGTTGTTTTTTTTTTTTCTGTTTTGTTGTTTAATTTTTTTGAGAAATTTTCTTAGTTGGTAAAAGTTATTTTTAATGTCGGTTAATTTTGTAGCCGTAAGGTTAATATATTATTTTATTTGGGTAGTATGGTTTGTCATTTGTTATTTATTTTAGGTGTTTGCTATTATTATGTTTGTTATGTTATATATATATATATATATTTTTTGTTTTTGTATAGTAATTTATAGTAATTTTATTAGTTTGTATTTGGATTATTTGTTTTTGAATAGTTTTTTTTTTTTTTTTTGTTTGCGTGTTTATTAATTTTTATATTTATGAAATATGTTTGTTAATTTAGTATTTTTAGATTGGTTTAAGCAATTTTGAATGTGTATTAGTGATATTTGGTTAAGCTGTGAATTTTTTCTAAAATAGTATAGTTTGGGTTTATTTTTGTTATGTGTGTTTTTTTTTTAATTTTGTAATATGATTTAGAATTGTGTTATTTTTCTTAATTAGGTAATTTATTGTTTCATTTCTTGGGTTTGTTTTTAGTTTTTGTTATTTGTATTTTGAATTGAATTGGTAATAGTAATGTTGTGTTTTTTTTTTGGTTCGGTTATTTTATTCGTAATGGATTCGGCAATAATGATTGAATTGTAAAAGATGTTATGTAATATTTTGGATTAGTTTTTTTTTTATATTTAGCAAGGCAAGTCTTGTTTTTTTTAGTATTATTTGTTTTATTAATTTTGGTGTAGTGTTTTGTAACGTAGTTGGTTGTCATTTTATTTATAAATCAATTTTTTGAAGTTATAGTCAAGGTATTTTTATATCTTGTTTTTTTGTTATGCCTTGTCATGGAAATACAATTGTGAGAATTAGTCAGGTTTGGCAAACTTGTAATGATGATTTGAAGTTGGTTGCTATATGGGCAGTTGGTGTTTTTCCTGTCGAGAGTGATAGATGTGAGTTAGATCTGTCTTTATTCATTCCAACGGATAATGAAGATAGGGATCCTAATTCACAGTTGATTTTCGAATTAAATAAGTATTATTGTGTTAGTGGAAAAGTTGTACTTGAAAATTATAATGGAAAATTAAGATTAAAGGTAGTGATATAACCCAGGTTGGAGCCACCCGGGTCACTCATGGATGAACAGATGACCCAAGTTGAGTTGTAGCAACCTGGGTAAAAACGGGCAGGTCAACCCGTCAGATAATCTGGATTTGCTCAACTCATGACTTACAAATCAAATTAAATACTCAAATAAGTCCGATAGAAAAAAAGTTAAATTAATTAATAATTAATTTGAATTTATAGATATTACATAAAAAAAAAAATAAAAATTTATCGCTTTAATTTTTATCAAACTTATCAATCGCTATTATTTTTAAAAGCGAATTTTTACTTATCGGTCAATACAACCTTTTATTCTATATTAATTTTGCGTTTGTTGGT